CATTCAAGGTCGTTTGAAGGTCAAATCAAAAAATGTCTGACTAAATATTTACTTGTATTACTAACAAAATTTGCAAACCCGTCCAACTAAATATTTACTTGTACTACTACTTGTACTGTGGATAGAATGTTTTCCTGGAAAATGAAAAAATCACTTACAAAGTCAAATAAAATTAAACAGCATGTCTCCATTATTTTTTTACCTTAAAACATCACATAGTACCTTCAAAAAACCCTACCAATTGAACCTAAATTGCAAGAGAATAAGAACAATCAATTTTATTCCATTTTTTTTAGATAGAATGTTTTCCTGGAAAATGAATAAATTCCTTACAAATTCAAATAAAATTTATCAGCATGTCTCTATAATTTTTTTACTTTCAAACAACACGTAATACCTTCAAAAAAAACCTACCAATTGAACCTAAATTGCAGTAGACTGAGAATAATCAATTTTATTCCATTTTTTTGAATAGAATGTTTTCCTGGAAAATGAAAAAATTCCTTACAAATTCAAATAAAATTAATCAGCATGTGTCTATTATTTTTTTACCTTAAAACAACACGTAATACCTTCAAAAAAAACCTACCAATTGAACCTAAATTGCAGTAGACTAAGAATAATCAATTTTATTCCATTTTTTTGAATAGAATGTTTTCCTGGAAAAAGAAAGAATTCCTTACAAATTCAAATAAAATTAATCAGCATGTCTCTATTATTTTTTTACTTTAAAACATCACATAGTACCTTGAAAAAACCCTACCAATTGAACCTAAATTGCAAGAGAATAAGAACAATTAATTTTATTCCATTTTTTTAGATAGAATGTTTTCCTGGAAAATTAAAAAATCCCTTACATAGTCAAATAAAATTAAACATTATGTCTGTATTATTTTTTTACCTTCAAACAAAACATATTACCTCTAAAAAAAAAACCCTACCAATTAAACCTAAATTGCAAGAGAATAAGAATAAAATTTTGTGATTATTTAAATTTAAGTTTATAGATGAAATAATTGTATTCCTTACATGAAAACGAATCGATTGGTATATATAAAATTTACATTTGAGGTAAATTTAATAAATTAATGAAAGTTAAAAAATAGAAAATACACATTTTAGCTGAAAAATTTTGTATTTATTTAAATTCAAGTTTAAATAGAAAATAATTGTGTACCTTGCATTAAAACGAATCAATATAATTGTAAATAATTATAAATTATATATTTATTTTTCATTAATATTTAGAAATTTCGGTTAAAATATGAATTTTTGATTTTTCAACTTCCATTAATTCTTTAAATTTAACTCAAATGTATAGGTACTCAAATGTTTATATTATTGTTATATTATTTCTGTATGTTTATTTCAATGTTAATGCATTCTCCACGAGGAAGCAAATTTTTTTTGCTGATCTTTAAGAGAAAGCAAAAAGGTTAATGGTAATGAACATCTGAATTTACAACTTGTTTATATAAAAATATTTTTGTTCTACATAAAATAATAATATAAGACAATATTTTATCTGTTAAAATCGAAGCAAAAGATATACGACTTTTTTAGTACACCTTTATAGTTGTTTGTTAAGCTTCGGAGTCATATTACGAAAGAAGAATTCATTTCTCAGTAACCTTTGATCTTCTTTTCTGACAAAATGATCTTCCTTTACACAATATCGAGTTCGTTTTCTATAACATGTATTACTATAGTTGCCTTTCTGTATATACATATATAGTATTGTATTGTTTGTCGACGAAACGTTTAAAATAAAATAGAAATTGATCCCAAGTTCGTATATGAAGGAAAGTTATATTAAATTCAAATGATCGGTAATTACTAATATTACTTTTACTATTATTAGGTTTTATTTTTATTTTATTATTATTATTATTATTATTATTATTTAAAATTGTACTAATTAAAATAAATAATTATTATAATACAGTAACAATTTTTTTTTAATTTTAGGAGAATTATTACATTTTTCAAAAAACAAAAAAATATATATATATATATGAACTTGAAAGATCAATAATGTGTAATTCGCGAGACAGACATTAATATATCGCAAGACAAAAGCATCTCGTTGGTTTCATTTCCTATGGCTAGAGGTTAGCAGCGGAAGAAGAAATGGTGAGTGAGAGGGAAGGAGAGGCAAAGTTCGCCCTTTTTGCAGTCAGCCTTTTATGCTAAACGCTCGCTTCATTTGAATGGCGCTAATGCGAAAAACCGATGCATGCTAATGGAGAGCACACGACTCTGTCTACTCACACGCAAATACGTGTGAGTACTCGTCCCATACAAACCAACCCTTCATGTCATATGCATACGTTACGACCGTGAAATCATCCACCTATCTTTTCCTACCTAACGAGCATTGAGCTAGTTGACCCAACACACATATCTATATATGTATTATACTTGCTTTATGCTTTTCAACTCATAAAATCTGCGATATATTGCAAACGTTTGTAATATTACTAGAGTGTATTTATTTTTGACAAATTCAAATTGAAAACGATTTGATTTTCATTTTTTTAACTAAATTTTTATTGGTAGAGAAAAAAGTAGTGTCTAGCTAAAAATGTCCTGTACTACTGAGAACTAAACTACAAGAAGTGGGGAAAAATTGTGTCTGACTGCAAACGGAGGTTTACTACTGACGTCTGATTGCTAAATTTTTTTACTACTGTTATGGCTTTTGGAAAAGCTGTATTCAAAATATTTGTCTGACTAAAATTGTCCTATACTACTGATACAAAAAAACCTTTGTCTGACATAGACTGGTTTCTACTACTTAAATCAGGACAAGACAAGAATTCAAAACTATTTTTCTGGCTAAAATTGTCTTATACTACTGGAAAAAATTTTGACTGACATAGACTGGTTTCTACTACTGAAATCAGGAGAAGACAAGAATTCAAAACTATTTGTCTGGCTAAAACTGTCTTATACTACTGATACAAAAAACCTATGTCTGACATAGACTGGTTTCTACTACTGAAATCAAGAGAAGACAAAAATTGTCTTATACTACTGATACAAAAAGCTTTGTCTGACATACACTGACTTCTACTACTGAATTTAAAAGAACAAAAGAATTCCAAACTATTTGTCTGACAAAAATTGTCTTATACTACTGAAAAAATTGTCTGACATACGCTGACTTCTACTACTGAAATTAAAAGAATTCCAAACTATTTGTCTGGATAAAATTGTTCTATACTACTGATACAAAAAAACCTTTGTCTGACATAGACTGGTTTCTACTACTGAAATCAGGAGAAGACAAGAATTCAAAACTATTTGTCTGACTAAAATTGTCTTATACTACTGAAAAAATTATCTGACATACGCTGACTTCTACTACTGAAATTAAAAGAATTCCAAACTATTTGTCTGGATAAAATTGTTCTATACTACTGATACAAAAAAACCTTTATCTGACATAGACTGGTTTCTACTACTGAAATCAGGAGAAGACAAGAATTCAAAACTATTTGTCTGGCTAAAACTGTCTTATACTACTGATACAAAAAACCTATGTCTGACATAGACTGGTTTCTACTACTGAAATCAAGAGAAGACAAAAATTGTCTTATACTACTGATACAAAAAGCTTTGTCTGACATACACTGACTTCTACTACTGAATTTAAAAGAACAAAAGAATTCCAAACTATTTGTCTGACAAAAATTGTCTTATACTACTGAAAAAATTGTCTGACATACGCTGACTTCTACTACTGAAATTAAAAGAATTCCAAACTATTTGTCTGGATAAAATTGTTCTATACTACTGATACAAAAAAACCTTTGTCTGACATAGACTGGTTTCTACTACTGAAATCAGGAGAAGACAAGAATTCAAAACTATTTGTCTGACTAAAATTGTCTTATACTACTGAAAAAATTATCTGACATACGCTGACTTCTACTACTGAAATTAAAAGAATTCCAAACTATTTGTCTGGATAAAATTGTTCTATACTACTGATACAAAAAAACCTTTATCTGACATAGACTGGTTTCTACTACTGAAATCAGGAGAAGACAAGAATTCAAAACTATTTGTCTGGCTAAAACTGTCTTATACTACTGGAAAAAATTTTGTCTGACATACACTGACTTCTACTACTGCAATTAAAAGAACAAAAGAATTCCAAACTATTTGTCTGACTAAAATTGTCTTATATTACTGGAAAAAAATTTTGTCTGACATACACTGACTTCTACTACTGAATTTAAAAGAACAAATGAATTCCAAACTATTTGTCTGACTAAAATTATCCTATACTACTGATACAAAAAAACCTTTGTCTGGCATAGACTGACTTCTACTACTTAAAATAAAACAACACAAGAATTCCAAACTTTTTGTCTGACTAAAACTGTCTTCTACTACTAATAGAAAAATTTAAACCTTTAGAAAAGCTGAGGCTGACTTTTACTACTGAAATTACCAATACAAAAATTCGCAAAATATTTGTCTAACTAAAACTATATTTTTCCACATAAAATAAATTTTTTACATTTCTGTGAATAATTTCCCCATTTTTTAAAATATTCCACTAATTTTCTAAATTACACTCTGATTAGTTCAAAAAAAAAATTTTTTTTTATAATTCTAATTTTCTGTTAACAGAAAATATAAATTAAATATAAATACAATTATAAATGCCTTTAATATAAATTTTTTTTTCGCTTCTTTTGTACTTATTGATTGACGACGCTTTTACTGCGGCCCACGTTTTACCTTTCGATCAGTAACATCGTAAATGCAGCCACTACGAATTTACGACTGGTACACGCTTCTCTCACTTATATAGAGAAAGAGGAATGAATGGCAAAGGGTAAAACTTATCGAGGAAGTTACAAATATCGGAAATTACAAAGTGGAAAACGATATTAATATATACCAACAAAAGATATAATACTGATATTTTTATACTATAAAATAAAAAAAAAAAAAAAAAGAAAGAAAATCAAAAATTTACTCACCATAAATGCGAATCGTACCATCTGTCTCTCCTCGTGGATTTTTTGCTACACAATTGTAGCTTCCGTAATCTGACATCTGTAACAAAAACACTTAGTTACAAAACACTGTAAAATTACAAAACAATAAAAATTAAAAAAAAAATTTTTAAATTAAAAAAAAAAAAAGAAGATTGAAAAAAAATGTCAGATGCAAATTGGCTTTTTGAAATAATATACCAAAAAGGTTCAACGAGAATCAATATCTATTTTTTCCCTTTAATAACACATCACTAAACACTCGAAATGAAACAAATGATTTTCTATCAGATAAACTCATAAACGTCAAATGGTTTATTTCCAAATTGTGAATATTTACTTTTATGAATAACTTGTTGTGTTATTTTTCAGTGATTTTTCAAATTTTTGGTTTTCAAAAGTCATAACAAAAATAAAAAAAAAAAATAGAAAATAAAATAAAAAAAAAATAGAAAATAAAATAAAAATGATAACACTCACCTGAATATCGAAAATAGTTAATGTCATATTTGTCTTATAGGAAGGTTTCTCAGGAATGGACGTTACTTTGTACTTCTTATTTTCATGTATCATAAGACCATCTTCACGTGTCCAATAATTTAAAGACGTTGGATGCGCCTCCGTGTGACATTCCAATGTCACAGAATATCCTAAGGGCACACCAACCAATTGATGAGGTATAGATAACATCGGTGGAACTGTAACAGAGAAGTGATTGATTGGCTCATAAATGCTCCAATTATACCAGCAATATACAGAATAGGTATTTGCGAATCGATATCCCTTTGCCTTGTGTATCAATAAATTTTCCTCGAACCCCACTAATGTCAGGTTTATACATTTCATTGCTTTTTCAAGCGACTTTCTTTTATTTTCATATTATTTTCTGCATATAAAAAAAAATGTACACTGAGAAAAATGTTTAGTCAGAGCAACCAAAATTTGGTTGGGCGAACAAAAAAATTTTGTTGGTATTTAAACAACCAAACTATTTGTTTGAGTCAACCAAAAAATTAGGTTAAGTGTTTTTTGTTGGCATAACAAAAATGTTTGGTTAGCCCAACCAAATTTTTTTTGTTAGGTCAACAAAAATGTTTGGTTGATCAAACAAACAGTTTTTTTGTAAAATTAAAAATTTTATTCTACCTTATTTCTTTTCTTTTTATCTTTTTTATTTATTTCATTATTTATTTATCAATTTAACATTGAATTTATATTTATCCAATTGAAATATTTATGGACTTTAAAAAATCTAACCTCCGCCTGGGATCGAACCTCTGTTTTAAAACTGAAGGTCGGGAGCTCTGACCACCGGGCTACCCATCCTTGTGAGAGATTTAAACTAACTGTTCTCTTAAGCTATGAGCTAAGAGCGAATCAAACTATTTGGTTGTCGCAACCAAATTTTGGTTAGGACAACAAACGATCATTTGGTTTCTTAGACCAAACTATTTTGTTGTGTTAACCAAATTATTTTGTTGTCGTCACTAAATTTTGGTTGGAATTTAAAAATGTTCAACCAAATAATTTTGTTGACCTAACCAAATGTTTGGTTGAGATAACCCTATGACTTTGTTTCAGCCAACCAAAATTTGGTTACAAGAACCAAAATTGCCTAACCAAACAATTTAGTTGCAAACACTAAATTTTTTTCCTCAGTGTATATATATATACACTGAGAAAAATGTTTAGTCAGAGCAACCAAAATTTGGTTGGGCCAACAAAACAATTTTGTTGGTATTTAAGCAACAAAACTATTATGAGTCAACCAAAAAATTTGGTTGAGTGTTTTTTGTTGGCATAACAAAAATGTTTTGGTAATCAAATTATTTGGTTGTCGTAACCAAATTTTGGTTAGGACAACATACGATCATTTGGTTTTTTAGACCAAACTATTTTGTTGTGTTAACCAAATTATTTTATTGTCGTAACCAAATTTTGGTTTTCTATGTTGAACCAAATAATTTTGTTGGCCTAGCCAAATGTTTGGTTGAGATAATTCTACGAATTTGTTTCAGCCAACCAAAATTTCGTTACAAAAACCAAAATTGCCTAACCAAACAATTTTGTTGCAAATACTAAATTTATTTTTTTTTGTATAAAATTGGGATGATTTAGGAAATTATTTCTCAATATTTTCAATAATAATAATTGTGTCCTAGTTTTAGAAAATATGCTTGTTGGTTTATTTTTGGCAAAAGTTTTCGCTTATGCACTACTGCGGGAAGTTAGGTAGTTTTATCTTCTAAGTTAAATCCCATGCGCAGAATCCAAGTACATCGCACAAGACTTAATAAAAAAGTAATCCCATTACGATGAACGTCTCCACTAACCCCCCCCCCCTCCCTCCCTTTTATCCTCACTCGTCGTTTCCTATATAATATCCTCACGGCGGCGGCGCTGAGGCACTTCAATTTAACTTAAACCTTGTGAACATTATTCCCATTATGCCAATCTGAAATCTCTAATATGTATTCATACCTTCCTATACCTTTGTCGAAAAGACAAAACGTTGCTTCAAATTTAAATGTCATTAAAAGCTCCCGGCGATAATTCTAGATGCTTTCGTTTTACAATATATAATATAGATACACTGCAATATATATACAGTGATACAAGCCCTTTTTAATAGAAAAAAATTTTCAATTTTCAAAATTAGAATTTTTTCATTTTAAAACATTTTAAATATTCAATTTTTTTTTCAATTTTAAGTAAAAAAAATATATAAAGTACTAAATTTGAATGAAATAATTTTATTTTCACAATAGTTAATTTTATTAAATGTTTGTCCCATCAATAACAGTCAAATATCTCTCAGTTTGGAATTAAAATTAATATTTAATATTAAATCAAACCTATTTTTGTTTGACACTATATTAAAGATATTTTAAGTTTGATCTGAATACAAAATATTTCTCAGATAAATATATATGTATTTCATATATATATATATATATATATATATATATATATATGAAATGCATTTGCTAAATATATATTAATTTAAAATTCGTGATTAAAATTTAAAAGCAATTATTTCTATCTTCCAAATATTGGCATTTTTGAATTCACTTTAAATTGTGTTTTACAATTATTGTTATTTTTTTTTTTTTTTTTTGCAAGATTTGGCAACCAAAACAAGCCATCTAGATAATGTTTCACATCTTAAGGCAGATCTGGAACAGATCTTGTTACCATATGATATTTGAACTAAATTTTTTCTCACAAATGTGATCCAAATCTACGTCGCGTTTTATTAATATCTTCGGGAAAATATCTGTACTTAAAATAAAGAATTTTTATATCTATATAATAAAATTCATAAACAATTAGATTTTATTTGTGTTCGTGAAATTGTATTTAAAAAATAATTTAAAATTTAAAACCGTATATCCTGTGTAAGATAATTTTTATTAAATAATATTAAATAATATTAAATAAATCCCGTCAACTTATTGAATAAATATTTTAAAAAAGTATTTAAAATTCTAATACATTTTTATTGTTGCTACTTGACTATAAGATTTTTTTTATGTATTATTTTTTTGTCTTTTATAATACTTTTTTTTATCGTATAAAATATATATATATTAAATATTTTTATAGGTAATGCTTTAATAAATTAAAATTTTTTTTTATAATAAAGTGTTTTAAAATTTTTATTACCTGAAGAGGAAATCATACATTATTGATATCAAAACGACGTTTTTACAAAAAAAAAAAAAAAAAAAAAAAACTCCGGAGAATTTTCACTACACGGAGAAAAAAGATTTCTTTTATAAAGTAACTTTTACTACTTTCAGAGTAAAATTGGACCAACTCGAAGTTTCTGCGCATCTCTGGCAATTTTTACTCCAAAAATAGTAAAATTTACTCTAGAAATAGTAAAACTTACTACGGAAACAGTAAAATTTACTACAGAAATAATAAATTTTACTATTTTTGGAGTAAAAATTGCCAGAGATGCGCAGAAACTTCGAGTTGGTCCAGTTTTACTCTGAAAGTAGTAAAAATTACTTTTTCTTTTTCTCCGTGTAAAATTTTATTACTGAATGGAAATACTATAAAAAAAATTTATTTGGTTTAAATAATAATCAATTAAACAATTAAAATAAAATTAATAAATTTTCCAGAAAAATGTTATGTCAGAAAAACCTTTTTTTTCTATTTTTTCTGAAATTACAAAATTCTTAAGTTATTTTCCATATTGGATTTACACAAAAAAAAAGCTGATGTTATTTTTATTGCGGGTAATTTTCTCCAATGCTAAAACCCATAAGATTTAATCCACAATTAGGGTAAAATTTATTGAGAAAGCTTATTTATTATTATTATTTATTTATTATTATTATTATTATTATTAATAATAATATTATATAAGTAGATATTATAGTGAATATATATACATATGTATTATTATATAATATTATATCCTTATTTATTTATTTATTTTTTATTTAACACCAATTCTGGTGTTAAAATTACACTTTGTTTTTCCTGTGTATATTAGCAATGTGAATGTAAAATTTATTTGATTTGTATTCATTTCTTTTATTATTTACAAATAATAGAAAAAAAAGAATCTAGTGACACGAAAGCACGTAGATGTAAATGACTCTAAATAAGCTCCAAAAAAAGCTCCCCCCCGTTACCATGAAAGATCCCTTTTCTCCTCCCTCAGGAATTTCTGTTTAGATCCTCCTCGGTCCATCCCTGTGGAACGCACTCTATTCGCCATTCTCTATCTTTGCTCGGGATACTAGCAGTAGTGGAAAACTCTTTAACATCGATTTCTTCTCTCTGAAGCGAGAGACAGAGAGAGAGAGAGAGAGAGAGAGAGAGAGAGAGAGAAAAAAGAAGGCAATGTCTGTGTTTTTCGAAAGAACCAAGAACTAATATCCACTGAGAAATTGTTGTCCAGTAAAAGTCAAATGGACTACGAATTTTCCCTCGGCACTTGAAGCTTAGTAGTAGTGCAAAGATCAAAAGAATCATAAAGTACATGTTGAATCCGTGACTTCAGAATTTCACTCTTTTATACGTGTACGAGAACAGGTACTATATATATTGAAAAAAGAAGATTTTTAGAACACGAAAACAAGCCAGTTAAAAGCATATTTTATCTTTTTTTTCATTCAGATTTTTAATCTTTTTTTTTCACTCAGATTTTTAATCATTTTTTTCCCCAAAATGAGATTTCCATTTCAAATATCTCAATCTCAAACACTAATTGAGAACCAATGAAAAAAGAATTCGATACGAGAATGTGAGATTTTTCAAAAAAGAGCATATTACCTTTTTTTTTCTTTTTTTTTAACTCTTTTTATATATTCGACTTCTCGTCTCTCTGCAAAGGACGAAGGAAGCGAGTGCTTCTTCGAGAATCGAGGATTCGACACCTTCTTAAAATGCAAAACATCCCTGCATCTGAGAATGAGAAAGACGTGAAAAAAGAAAAAAAAAGAAGGGGGATAGAAAATAAAGGTGAAAGGGAAGCCTGAGACACGACGAAGGTTTGGAAGGGGGGAACGAGGTGACACTCCGATCCTTATTGCGACGACGACAAGCATTGACTTGGAACTCGAGCCCCCCCCCCACCCCCGTCGCAGGCTATTCACTATCACCACTAAAAATAAGGAGAAAAATCAAGTGTCCCTCTCCATGAACAAGAATGTAAATTTTTTTTTTTTCATTACTT